GGGGAAAGAAAATATAAAATAATTCACTTCTGATCATTTGATATTTTTAAGCATGAATCATCTGATGAAAAAAATTAGATGAAGATAAAGATAAAGATGATGTGTGTTTAAATGACAGCTAAAATCAGGAAAAAAAACTAACAGCCTCTTTTTATCCCTTTACATAGTTCTACTACCTCATGTAGTGACTTGGCTTGAAACCTTGAGGTTTTTTTGAGCATTCCTTTCTCCTCATTCTCTCATCCAAGAAACCACCAAAGCCTAAAATCATATTGTTCAGACTCTCGTATATGTCACTTTCTTTCCATTCCCATCTCCCTTACTTTACCTCAGGCCCTTATGATCTTGTTCTGGATGACCACAATGGCATCTGCACCTCCTTCTCATATTTATCATGGAGACCAGCCTCAAAGTCACTTTTATCATGATACTTCCTTGCTCAAACCCCATCAGAAATACTCCCTTAGTGACAAGATAAAGTCCAAACTCCCCAAACATAAATGTGAACATCTTCACAGCCTGGCTCCAGCTTTATCTCCAGCGGTCTCCTCAAGTGAATCCTAAACTCGAATCACCATTCCAAAATCATCATCTCCAAAGCACGTCATGGATGTTCCAGCAAACCTTCATCCCTCCCCACAGCTTCAGACAAAAGATAATGGATGTGAAATGCAAAGTGAAAACAGGCATTAAGGCACAGAATAAATTAATGTCTGTTTACTCTTCGGGATGTGATTACGGATTAGTGCTTCCAATTTCTTTATTCTACCATACTGAATTTATAACTGTTAGGAGAAAATAGTAAGTGTCTAGAAGTTTAACATGGGTCTTTGGTTAGCTTATACAGCAGCATTTGGCTTAAATATCAAACCTGAGCTTTCAGATGCCAGAGATAAAACCATTTATAAAGGAAGAAAGCTTCTGCTCCAGAGGCTCACATCCATGACGTAAAGCAAATACCCAACTCCCTCCTTCCTCTCTCTACAGAAGCACCACCACAGCCAAGGTTCCTGGGATTTGACCAAATTCATTGCTGGAAGAATAGGGATTCCTATTTTTCCCTTAGGAAATAACCATCCAACTACCAAAACCAATCAACTGAGTCCTCCAACTCTATTTAAAAAACTAACAAGAATCACCAACATTTAAGTGAAACCAATAGAGTGATAAAAATGTTCCAGGGATGTCTGGGGGGCTCATTTAAGCATCCAACTTGTGACTTCAGCTCAGGTCATAATCTCAGAGTTGTGGGATTAAGACCTACATTGGGCTCTGCACTCACTGTGGAGCCTGCCTGAGATTCTCTCTCTCTCCCTCTGCCCCATGCCTCCATGCTCTCTCTCTCAAATAAATGGATAAATCTTTTTTAAAAAGGATTCCAAAAAGAATTAATCCTTAAAAAGAATTTCTGAAAGAAATAAAAAGAACTTTTAAATGGATTATAATTATTATAATCAACAAGACTAAAGAAAATACTGCCTTCTTTTAAAAAAAACAGTTGAAAAGAAAGACTAGAAGAGGAAGAGAAGGAAGGAAAGAATCAGCATTTTTGAAAATTAAAAACAATGTGGCTGATATAAAACATATAAACAGATGAATAAATAGTAAAGTGGATATGCATATGAGAAAAATTTCAATTAGTGATTTGGAAGATCATGAGAAGTCTCCCACAGTAGAATAAAAGGGACAAAAAATAGGTCTTGGCAAAAACACTAAGAAAAAAAAAAAACATACGGAATCAAGCATGTAGTGTAAGAAACAAAATTAGCATTCTCTACCAACAGTGTGATGTCCAGCAAAACATTTAGGAAATTATTAAAATACATATGAGTTTACTAAGCCAGATGGAAACAATATCAACATAAAAATCAGTAGCTATCTCACACACTAACAATCACAAATTAGAAGACGAAGCCCATAAAGATTTCATTCAGAATTCAAGCAACACTCACATAATAACTAAGAATAAAGATAAAGTAAATGTGCAAAAGATATTTTTAGAATAACTGTCAATCTTAACAAGGACATATAATAAGGCTTAAATCCTAGAAAAACACCATGTTCCTGGTTAGAAAGATTTGATATTGTAAAGTGAATTTGCCCCAAATTAATTTATAAATTAAAGAAAATCCCTCATCCTTCTAAAATCTATGTAATATAGATTCATGAAATGAGCAAGGTCATTTTTAAAAAAGAAGAAAATCTGGCCTGACATACTATGCAAATAGGATAACTAAAAATCAGCAAGAAACTAATCCAGAGATATATAGACTGGACTGTAAACAGAATAGAGAATCCAGAAAAATATCCCTACACATATGACATTTATCATGATAATGGTTCTATCTCAAACCAGCAGGAAACAGAAGACTTAACAACAATCAATGCCATTGGGATACATGGCTTTTTACCTGGTTTAAAACGAAAAATAACAAAGTTATTTTAGAATCTTATATCATAGACAAAAATTCTTGGTATAATAAAGAGCTAAAAACAAAGCTATAGGGGAGCCTGTGTGGCTCAGTGGGTTAAGCCTCTGCCTTCGGCTCAGGTCATGATCTCAGGGTCCTGGGTTCAAGCCCCACATCGGGCTCTATGCTCGGCAGGGAGCCTGCTTCCCTGCTCTCTGCCTACTTGTGATCTCTCTCTCTCTCTCTGTCAAATAAATAAATAAAGTCTTTAAAGAAAAACAGCTATAAAAATGTCAAAGAAATAGCAAATACAGATATTTTAACAACTTTTTTTTTAAAGATTTTAAAGACAGTAGTAGTAGACACAAGTAGGCAGAGAGGCAGGCAGAGAGAGAGGAAGGGAAGCAGGTTCCCTGCTGAGCAGACAGCCCGATGTGGGGCTCGATCTCAGGACCTTGGGATCATGACCTGAGCCAAAGGCAGAGGCTTTAACCCACTAAGCCACCCAGGCGCCCCAGATATTTTAATAACTTTGAGAGGGCAGGTCTTCTTACAGAAGACACAAAGTTCAGGTGCCATAAAAGAAAAAAACTGACTTATTTGACCACATTAAAAACTAAAATGTCCTGTTTGGTAAAATAAATAAATAAATAAATAAGTTCTTTTTGAAAAGCATCACTCAGGGGAACAAAATTACCATTTATATATAGAAAAGGGGTTAAAATCCGTAATATACAAAAGTAAGAGCTTCTTAAAATCTAATAGATATTTAACAGTTAAGATGAATCAACCTAAAAAATTCCCATTCTCAGTTTTTTCTTTTTTTTTTTTAAGATTTTATTTATTTATTCAACAGAGAAAGAGAGAGATCACAAGTAGGCAGAGAAGCAGGCAGAGAGAGGGGGAAGCAGGCTCCCTGCTGTGCAGAGAGCCTGATGCAGGGCTTGATCCCAGGACCCTGAGATCATGACCTGAGCTGAAGGCAGCGGCTTAACCCACTGAGCCACCCAGGTGGCCCCCCATTCTCAGTTTTAATCTAGGAAATGAAAGTACTAGTGCTAACATGAAATGCAAATGTCACTTCTTTTTGAATCAGATTAGTAAAAAGAAAGCAGCAGGAACCCGTAACATCTAGTATGGGCAATGATGTGAGAATAGAGCATTCTCCATTCAGTTTGACTGGAGTATAAATCAGCACAGCCTTTTGGGAAGCATTTTGGTAGTTTTTACTGAACTTTAAATTGTGCTTACCTGCTCAACCAGAAATCATACTTCAAGAAATTTATTCTAGAAAAACTTGCACATTGTCTTACTCTGTGCATCTAAACATTTCAAGTCACATACGTGCCATTTAAAAAAATGTGTTATTCCCACATACCAATACGTATTCTTTGACAATAGTTAGATATTTAAATAATTCATCATTTGTATCATAACATATATAAATAAGGGTTTTAAAACAAATTCTTTAAAGATAAATTCTTTCAAAATACTGACCACATTGCCCACCATTGCATACCCTTAACCACTGCATACTAAATATTTACATGGAAATTCTCTGTCTCCATTTTTAGGTACAATGTGCAACTTTACTGTGTCCATTGAGTCAAAAATGGTTCTCTGCTGAAGACCAGTGCAGTAGGTAAAAAAATAACCCCTCAAAGGTGTCCACAGCCTAATCTCCAGAAACTGTCAATGTGTTATTGTACACAGCAATAAGGTCCTTCTAAGTATAATTAAATCAAGGCGTTTGAGATGTATTAATTATCCTGGGAAATCTGGCTGGGCCCAGTACAATCACCAAAGTCCTTAAAAGAGTAAAGTGGAGGTAGAGGAAAAGTGATGGATAGTAGGAGAAAGACTCAAATGTCCACTGCTGGCTTTAAAAGATGGAAGGAAGCCATGAGCGAAAGAACATGCACGGTTTCTAGAAGCTGGAAAAGGCAAGGAAGTGAGTTCTCCCCTACAGCCCCCATAGGAATTTCACCCTGCAGACATTTTGACTTTTAGCCCAGTGAGACCTATTTCAGATTTCAGACCTCCAGAATTATAATAAATATGTATTGTTTTAAGCGGTTATGTAAAAAAAATTGTTTTAGCAATAACTGAAAACTAATACAATCAGACACTGTATCAGGTGATACAAACACTAACACATGCTCTTGCCTTTGAGATCACAGCCCTTCCAGTGGAGGAAATAGATACAAATTATAATTCTTCAGATAGATATTAAATGTCAATTTATAAGACTCTCTGATTCTTTTTAATTATGTATAATTTCATTATATCTGCTGATACACTATCACTTTAGAACTCCTCAGATGCCTGCACATTATATAAAATTGACCTTGGTGGTTGGATATTATTGGCTGAGAGTAAATAAACTTACAACTTTGTCCTAAATATCTCAGTCTTTGCTATTAGGGCATTCTTCATGTCTTCCTGAATTCTGTAGGTAATGTTATAAAATTATTTATTATTAAAATAGGGATAAAAGGGACACTCAATTTCTATATTTCACTGTCAGCTTCACTTAAGAGTTTGGTAGACATTCATTATAATACATTATTGAGCATTTATGCATAAAACATAGTTTATGTAGTAGACTTTTGAATCCTGAAATTGAAAGTAAGCAAAATGTTTGTGTCAATTGGAACTTCCGAAATGGATTTTAACAAATAAACTACGTGGGAATTTCCCACTGGGGAAGAGAATTGCTGGCACTGCCTACAGGTGTTAGGGCCTCACTTACAACAGCCCTTGAATCCCTGGTGGGCAGAGACAGGAAATGATTTGTGAATATGCAAGTGGGAAGAAGTGTGTTAGCTTGTCATCTGCAGGGCTACCCCTACAGCGAATGTGAGTAGATCTCCTCATCAGCCAGAACTAAGGGGAAAAAAGGACAACTCAGTTGAGTTACTCCCTTGATAGAAAATTTCAAATATTTATGAGATGTTTTCCCTTGTGGCATATTTTACATTTCCTACACAAAATTTTCTCCAAATTAAAGTGCTTTTATGAGACTTCCGGTATCAGGGTCAAGTCAAGAGGCCGAAATCTGGGGCACCTGGGTGGCTCAGTGGGTTCAAGCCTCTGCGTTCGACTCGGGTCATGATTTCAGGGTCCTGGGATCGAGCCCCACATTGGGCTCTTTGCTCAGCGGGGAGCCTGCTTCCCCCTCCCCGCCTCTCTGCCTGCTTCTCTGCCTACTTGTGATCTCTGTCTGTCAAATAAATAAATAAAATCTTAAAAAAAAAAAAAAGAGGCAGAAATCACACCATTTCTCTTTTCAGAGATAACTGAATAAAAAGCATTCCCCCTAAAGTTGGTAACTGAACTGATAAAAAGAGAACTCTACAGTATTACGAAGGTAGTGGCTGTAAGAAGAACTTAGCACTCCCAGGACTAGGGGAAACAATAGAAAATGCTAGAATTATTAAACTTGGGCCCTTAGAAATAGGAGCTGTGGAGTTAAAACTCAGATCTCCTAGAAGGTGCTGGCCTGGGAGAGATGGTTTCTCTGAGACAGGACATTTAAGTGAATTCTGTAAGTGTCAGAAAACTTCAAATTGAGCTCAGCTGCAGCCTCCTGAAAAGTCTGCTGCGTGTGCGGGGATGGGGGGCTGTTGCCGACGTGATAAGCATAGGAACCCCAAATGAGCTGGAATCCATGGGAAGAAAGCAGAAAAACAGGCAAGAGAATGTCTTTTTGTCCCCTTCCCACCTTGGTGACTCCCTCTAGTGCCTCCCCTATGCACGATTCAAACAGGAAGTCAGAGGGCGAAGCAGCAATGTGGTTTCCAGTCCCAACTCCAACATCACAGAGCAGAGCACAAAAGCATGGATGTGCCCCTGAGAAACAGCTCAGCAGTTGGTTCAGCCCTTCCACGATGCACGTCCACCAATACGCTTTCCTATAAACAGCAACAGCACAGCTGTGTGCACGTAAAAAGATGCAAATGAATTTGTATTAGTACAAATGATGTCGTATTAGTATAAACAAAGACGCCCTCCCTTCAAAAATCAATGGAGACAAAAATCTCAACAATCTCGGTATCTATCCCTATGCAATTCTACTCTCCAAATGTGGCCACGGTCCCATCTGCATTTTCTCTTACCTAACTACTAATTGGAGAATCATCTCAAGAAAGCTATACAATACAAAGAGGAAAATACACAAACTGCTTTGCTATTTACGCAACTGGTCACAAGGCTGTCACTGATGTTTACAACTTCCTTCTTTCACTGTCTGTCCCAAGCTTTCTCTATCCTCAGCCAAAAGTTTAGTAAGTCTGTGATCTTACCTGGTGAGGCAACCCAAACCTTTACTCCTGATGTGTCTGAATCCAGTTTTGTTGTAACTTCTATTATTTGATTTGGAACTACTAAGTCGAGGCTCCCAAGAAAATGCGCTGGGTTTCAGACACGGTCCTCCGTGGCCTCATGGAATGGTTACCAACCCCTTTTTCCCTTGGTAATCAGGATCGATTACTCCAGCCAGCAGTAACCACCTGTGTTACTTGTTGCTCCAGTGGCATTTAAATCCCTAACAAGTCAGGTGGCTGCCTCATCTTCAATTCAATGAATCGGTACTGTGTCACCTGGTAGAGAGGCCTTCTTTCCTTATGAAGTGCGGCTACCAAACCCCCAGAGCTTAAAGTTGTAGAAGGAGAAGCCAAAATGCTGAGAATGGGCTTTCAGACATTATCATTCATGGAGCCATTCCTAACTCCTTGATTTCCTGAGCCATGTATTTTGGCCACAGGGGAGACAGCAACCAGACATTGGACTCTGATTCAAAGCGTAACTGCATCCTGGAAAACGGCACCCATCCTTCCAGCTATGGTCTCCATTCCACTCATCCACTGGGAAAGCTGCTTTTGAGTGATGAGATAAGGGGTAAGACAAGTTAACTTCACAGGCTGGAGCCAAGGGCTGCACATTTTAGTTGTGAGACGCTGCACAAAGTTGTACAGAAATACCATGATCACAGATAATACATTCTGCAAATCCATGGATGGCGATCCTGGCAGAAGCATTAGGGGCAGGGAAGGCAAATCAGTATCAGGATTACATATCAGTATTGGTGGGGAAATCATGCCCCCCCATGATGGCATGGGTCCCAAGTAATCAACCCACCATGTAGTGGTCTCTCCTATTGGAAGGGTAGGCACGAAACAAGACACAACCCTTGGGGAGTAGTAATCTATGTTGTTGAGCCCCTCCACAGCCTCTATCCCTGTGCCATGGCTATGCTGTGCATGGGCCCATTGAGCAGGGACTGCGGTGGCTGAGAAAAGAGGCTTACTGACATCCATTAAAAAAATGTGTCATTTTGTTTGCCTGAGAGGCGCTAATGAGCATGAACATGGGACACAATTATCTTCACACACTACACCTATGCAGGGGAGGGGGGCGAAAGGTTATAAATAAGACATTTGAAGCCTAGAGAGGTTCGGCAATTTCAAGGAAGTTGAACTTGCCCCAAGTCACAGAAGAGAAACCAAAAGAGCAAGAACTCTCCCCCAAATCTGTTTGATTCTAGACTACACAATCTCTTACTATTCTAGTGTCTCTAAAAGAAGCAAGAACAGGAACCAGAAATGAAACTGAAACAGAGAAAGGACATGACTACATTATCAATAAGGCTTAAAACAAAAACAAAAACAAAACCCTAGTTTTTAAAAGTGAGGCTCTTGGGGCACGTGGATGGCTCAGTCGGTTAAGCGGCTGCCTTCAGCTCAGATCACGATCTCAGGGTCCTGGGATTGAGCCCCGTGTTGGGCCCCCTGCTCAGTGGGGAGCCTGCTTCTCCCTCTCCTTTTGCCCCTCCCCATGCTTATGCTCGCTCTCTCAAATAAATAAATAAAATCTTAAAAAAAAAAAAACAAAAGTTTGGGGTTCCTGGGTGGCTCAGTCGATTAAGCATCTGTCTTCAGCTCAGGTCATGATCTCAGGGTCTTGGGATCAAATCCCTCATTGGGCTCCCTGCTCAGCAGGAAGCCTGCTTCTCCCTCTCCCTCTGCCCTTCCCCCTGCTTATGTTCTCTCTCTCTCTCTCTCTCTCTCTATATATATATATATATATATAAAATAAGTAAATAAAATAGATTAAAAAATTTTAAAAGCTAAAAAATTAAAATTAAAGAACAAAAGTGAGACTCCTCACCAAGGTCAGTGTTGCAAAGAACTGAACAGACAAGGCAAGAGGTTAAAATAGACTAATAGAAAATCATTTATCACCTTTTAGCTGAGACATGGAGATAGTAACCAAATATCACCGGGGCCTGCCAGGAAGTTGCAAGGTCATCAAAGGACAAGGAGGGGACAGTGGTGGGTGGCAATAAACAGAAGACCAGAAAGGGCTGACCAAAGAGAGAGGAGGCAAGGTAATGTCACTGAAGGTCGTGTTAATGTCACACGTGTATGAAAGAAGTATGCAGAGACTGGATGAGCAAAGCCAAAGTTACATCCGGTATATTCTCCAAGTTCCCAAATAAAGGAGAATTTATAATGGTATCTACTTCTAGAACCACTTAGATTATTTAAAAAAACGTGAATTCACCCAGCAACAGTGAGCAGTACATTGGAGACAGTAAAAAACAGGAATTAATAGTGATGGTAGTAGTAATTATAGCAAAGCTTGCATTTCTTGAGGCTGTACATGTACCCATGCTGTGCGATACAGTATTCACGCGATCTCATCTTGCTATCACAAGCCTACAATGGCCAATATTATAGTCACCATTTTACAACTAAGGACACTAAGGGTTAGAGATAGGTAATTCATCCAGGCTTACATAATTAGTGACAGAGACAGTTACCACTGTCTGCTTCCAAAAGCCATGTGCTAGACTAGTGGAGGAGAAAGGGAGGGAGGGAAGCCCGAGGGAAGGAGGGAACCTGACAGGGAGGGAGGGAAGGAAGAACGGTCGGTGTAAACAAGAGAAGTAAATCCTTGCAATTAAACAGTTCAGTTAGTAATGGCAATACTTCTTGATCTTAAAGACTCTTGAACAATAAGTTCATATGCACCCCATTTAAATGTAGACCAAGGGAAACAAAAATTTGGCCTCAACCCTGACCACTCCCCATCCTACTTACATCTATCCTATTTTCCATAATCTAGGTTTTTTTCCCCCTGTGTTCCTCATTGCCTGGCAATTCCGGGTGTTTTAAATCCTATTTAAGACACTCTGGCAACAAAATTATTTACGACCTTTTGGATTGAGATCTTGTTTCAGAACCAAAATATTTTAACTTGTACCTGCCAATCTGAATGACTCTAAGAGAACAAGTCGCTTATAAGTTTTTCCATCCCTTCTCCAACCATCGACAATGCAGCAGTAAATGCCTTCGCCCGGGGATTCTGCAGCCCCGCATCAGTGTGCCTGCCAACGGATAAGGGAAACATGAAACCATTGATTCAAGTTACTATACCTGGGATCCATCTGTCCACAAACCGTAAATATTAGAGAAGCGAGAGCGTACATGGAGTGGCAAATCCCTCACCTCGAATTTTGTGTGTTCAGGCCACAAATTGGTTCTTTTTTTCTTTCTATTGAGCAAATGACTTGAATGTTTTAAGTTTCAGGTTTTGAAACTTGAGGTTTGTAGCATTTTCTTAAAAATATGCTAATATTTAGCCAAAGTCCTTCATATTTGTTATTTTATTTGATCTCAGGATAACCTTAGGAGATCAATTATTACTACCATTTCACAGGAAGCTGAGGTTTACTAGCACTCAAGATTATGGGACCGAAAACAAGATTTTCTCACCCAAATGTCTTCTAAACCATGAAAGCCCCTAGAAAATTTAACCTTAATAGCCTCCAGAATTTCTTCAAGTGGTCTCATCTTTAGCCTTTCTAATTACACTCGAAGTTATATATTGAAAAATTAGGGATATTCTAGCATTTTAAAGATATCATGTGCTTTTTAATGCTTTGGTTATATTCCATATGTCTAAGAAACTTGCTATTTGTACCTTCTACGTACAAATTGGGTGCCAACCCTTATTTGGACCTTTCTTTTCCTTTAACTCAATGTAAAAATTCCTTATTATCTCCTTTGGTTATTCTCTCTGTCTGTATTAAGTAAGCCTGTTTCCTACTGTTTATTCCCATAGTTTTCCAAACTTTAAAATTAGAAGCTATCAGAGCTTCCTCTTTTTATTTATTTTTTTTAATTTATTTATTTATTTGACAGAGATCACAAGTAGGCAGAGAAGCAGGCAGAGAGAGAGGAGGAAGCAGGCTCCCTGCCGAGCAGAGAGCCCGATGTGGGGCTTGATCCAAGGACCCTGGGATCATGACCTGAGCTGAAGACAGAGGCTTTAACCCACTGAGCCACCCAGGCACCCCAGAGCTTCCTCTTTTTAAAGGTGGTCCAAATTCCAAACTATCAGATGATACGAGTCACAGTACCTGGAATTAATAAGTTGTTGAATAAGGTTTTCAACAAAGTTGAAGTTTGTTGGACCCCTTTACAAATTATCCTAATTCTGCCCTAGAGTTCCCTCAAATTCACACTGATTCTGTCTTGGCAATATAAAATTCCCCTACTAGAAAGAAAACCCACTTGTATTCTTAAGCAAAAATAATCCCTGTTTGTCTGCTATTATAAGCTAATGAAACTCCTCAATAGCTTGTCTTTTCTTTCTGACTTGCATCATCATAGTACTTTTTATTACAAATTCTACTCCTCTGGTAGTCTGTTCCAGAGATTTAATTCAGATATATGCTGTCGAGATTTTTCTTACTCTTCTTTTCTCAGCTCAAAGAATTTTTTGTATCTACTATACATAAAGCATCTTGTGAAATAATTTTTTTAAAGATTTTATTTACTTATTTTGGAAGCAAGAGAAAGCTCAGGGAAGGGGCAGAAGGTAAGGGAGAGAATCTCAAGCAGACTCCCCGCTGAGCTAGGTGCCCGAATGGGGGCTGGATCTCATAAGCCTGAGGTCATGACCTGAGCCGAAATCAAAAGTCGGATGCCTGACCAACTGAGCCACCCAGGCACCTGATACCTCAAAATTCAGTGTTGTTTCACTGTATTTTTTGTCTAATTATTACAATTATTTATTTTGCAACAATTCTGAACATAGAGAAGAATTAAAAAAAAAAAAAAGGAAGAGTTCTTACTACTCTTTACCTAGCTTTGCTTTATTTGAATTTTACTCGATTTTCCCCTAATGTCGTTTCTCTATATAAGGATCTAATTCGGGATTACGTCATCATCATCATCACCAGTGATGGTACCAGGCTGCAGAGTTAAAGTGTGTCTGCCAGTTTTCTCTTCTGTAAAGTTATTATTCTTCCTATCATTGCTCATAAATATTTGGGAGAGGATGGTGACATTCTGAAAATACTCTGCTCCTTATTAAACATTCCCCCACCAATGTAAGCATTCAGTGGTGGATTTTGCCTACTGTAGTTACTATTGTGATGTTCTAACAGTGGTTTTCTATTTCCTTAATTCTTCTACATGCATTAACTGAAATATTTCTGCAAGAAAGACTTGTCTCTTCATCTCACATATTCATGTATTTAATCAGTCATTAGTCAGTGTGAACAAATAAATAGTTTTGTTATTTGAGATGTAATTCAAATACTTTGGGGTTTTACACTCTTGCTTGAATCATTTCTTATTCCATTTGTTCTAACTCGGGCCATTGGAAATTTTTTCAGGTTAGCTCCTATATCCTCCTGGTGTGTCCCTATACTTTTTGTTTTAGTACTCCCATATTTTCTGGCATCACCTGGTGTCCAGGCTTACCTTGAATTTTCCTCC